ATATATATATATATATATATATATATATATATATATACACACACACACTACACCACTTTAATTGTTTTCTTATATAGGGAAGAAATATACGAAACTACATTCAATTTTAAAGTTGCCTATATTTTACAATGTGAAATAAAGCTATACACTTTGACTAGTTGCATGGCTGTCGCTATGATGGCTCACTTTGTATCTCAACAAGCGTAATGAAATTTGAACCGCGCGATCTGGCGGCTTGTTTGATAGCACTTACTAAGAAATAGTTTAATATATGTTTACTGTTCACGCTTGAGTGTGTATTAGTTCAAGTGAGTGGCCATATTTAATGGTAGATGCTATTTAAGAAGTTCGTGATTTGTAATACTAATCCCTGTGATATCTTGACAATTAAACATAGTTGTTTACATCAAGTACTTGTGGATATATTTTACAGAAATTTATAAACTAAACATATATATATATAAAGATGTCATAAAATACACCAATAAAACTTTTGAAGACAAACATATGAATCAGTGGTATTATTGTTGATACACATAATAAACTGCACAGTGAAGTATTTAATATGATACAAAGTTATGGAATAATCAGATACTAAAGTATTGAGTAGTTGAAATTAATTAGTTACAGTTTAAAACCTATTTTCAAAATGAGCGAAGAAATATGAAAATGTAAATATGATGCCGCGAAAAGAAAAAGAAAGAAATAGTTCGCAGATTCATAAACAACGATGGGAATTCGTTGTTATTTGAATCTAGAACTCCAGAAAGTTAACACAGATTTTCTCAAAGAAGTAGTTAACGCAACTGTTCTAAAAATTAAACTATGATCTACTATTCAATAACGATAGACTGTAACCCTGATGCCAGCCGTTAAGACCAGTTTTAGTAGTTAATATCTACGGAATTGTGGTAAATGTCAAGGAAATTATTACTTTTTCAATAATGTCGAGGAGGTCACAACCTTTGCCCTATCAGTGGTCTTTCTTGAAGAGTTTATGCAATATGGAATACTGCTCAAAGATTGGCGAGGTCAGGGGTATGATAAAAACGTAAATAGGAGAGGCTAATACAAGAGTGTCCAGTCTAGGTTGTTGTAATTAAACAAATGGACACGTGTCGTTCAACATGGCTGCCATACTTTGAACTTTGTACTGTACGATGCTGTAAGTTCTTGCAAATGACCAAAAGTTCCCGATTTTGTTTGCAGAATGTATACAATTGTGTTGGACATCAACCTGTAAATGGGCTATTTTGTTCTTTGTCAGAGTCACTTTCAAACTTTTTTCCCGACACTGGATGGGAATGTTAATTTGAATGTAAAAGTACCAAACATAAAATATATTGAAATCATTAACGATGATGGTTACTTCAGCCTACTTTGAAGCTAGACCAATAGCATGTGAACTAGCATTATAGAGATTTCTAATTATTTTAGTAGTCTGGTAATATGTGATTGTGATATTAAATCTAGTCAACAAGCAAATGCGAAGCTCAACTATGAGAATTGTTATTGCAAGAAATGACATACGGCTATCCCTTGTGTAATATAATTGTTTTAAAAGGGCCATGGCAAGTGCTAAAGCAATGGCAGCAGTATTATCAGTTGTTCTAGTATTATCGAGACTAGGGTCAGACGAACTTCTATTTGTATATATGGCAAATAATGCTATGTGCCGCTGTTCCTAATTTTGAACTGTTGATCAGGGAGATGGCAGCCAGTCAGCAGTAACCTACTGCCCACGCTAAGGGATTGACTGTCACTCTTATAACACATCTACAATATAAAGTGCGGGGAATATTTTGTGGTATCTTACGGATTCGAACCTGGCTCACTAGCTCCAAAATCCAAAGCTCTACCACAAAGCCAACCCAGGGTCGGCATCAGACGAAAGAAACGTCTTATTACTTAAAAATCTGAAGGTGAGCCAATCATCGCTGCACAATAACGATCCAAAACCGATTTTTTTTAATGTTGTCATCAACCGTGTTTTAATGAGGTTTTGACCACATTTGGATTCCTACGTGTCGTTAAAATAATTGAAAATGTAGAACACAAGAACTAGTAAAATCAAGCATGGATTTAGCTGTAGCCTACGATCTTATATCTCACATTATAACCTGTGCCCTGGTGTTCTTTTTAGTATAGTAAAAATATAATATAGGCTGAATGACCAGTCACTTAAATTCTAGGTCACAAGACGGATCATGAGATTTGCATAACAACGAACTGAGTGAGTGATTGACCTTATTTTACAACAGTAGTTCTGCCTTGCCATAACTGTTTCAAATTCCACTTATCTTTTGCATGATTTAAGCAGTTTTTTTTTGCTCATTCAAGAATAATATAAATGTTTATCTTAGTTACTGTCATGTCGTATTATGAATTTAAGATGTAATTATGTAACAACTCATAACATCGTGTTTGTAAAGCTTTTCTCATTTAGATGATCAGCTAGTTCTGAAGAAGATACATAACTTATGACCACATAGTTACCATTATTTTAATGTACTTTATTTACATGGAAAAGGTACAAACATAATATAATGTTAATTCATAGAGTCTAACACTTCAATTACGGGGTGAACAGTGTATTTTTCATGTTAGAACCTTCAAAAGGAGATAACTAGCAATTATATAGAATAACATATCCAGCATAAAGTAGAAAAGCTGACATGCATAAACAAGTACAACAATAAAAACAAAAATGTTGAGGACGTGATAATGATAAACATATACCACAAGGAAATAGTGGAAGGGATAAGTTGGATAAAGATATAAAACAGAGAAGCAATGAATGAGATGAAAGAAGGCAAGGATAAACATACATAACACCACATACAAAAACCTGAGGAGATGACATAAACATACATAACAACAAGTTCAAAAAACTGAGGAGATGACATAAACATACATAACACCAAGTACAAAAACTGAGGAGATGACATAAACATACATAACAACAAGTACAAAAAACTGAGGAGATGACATAACGTACATAACAACAAGTACAAAAAACTGAGGAAATGACATAAATGTACATAAGAACAAGTTCAAAAAACTGAGGAGATGACATAAACATACATAACAACAAGTACAAAAACTGAGGAGATGACATAAATGTACATAACAACAAATACAAAAACTGAGGAGATGACATAAACATACATAACAAAAAGTACAAAAACTGAGGAGATGGCATAAACATACATTACAACAAGTAAAAACTGAGAAGATGGCATAAACATACATTACAACAAGTACAAAAACTGAGGAGATGACATAAACATACATCACAACAAGTTCAAAAAACTGAGGAGATGACATAAACATACATCACAACAAGTACAACAACTGAGGAGATGACGCTCAATTTTTTGTACTTGTTGTTATCTACGTTATGTCATCTCCTCAGTTTTTTTGTACTTGTTGTTATGTATGTTTATGTCATCTCCTCAGTTTTTTGTACTTGTTGTTGTGTATGTTTATGTCATCTCCACAGTTTTTATAGTTGTTGTTATGTATGTTTATTAAAAGCCATTGTCCCCAGTGTAAGCTGAATGACATATCTTTCCTGTTTTAAATTTTTGAGTTATATTTAAATATTTTATTTCCTCAATTGTTTGTTATGTACGTTATGTCATCTAATGTCCAAACACTTCGAACATCTTTCAAAGTTCGTCAATGTTCTAAAAACTGTTGTCCCCAATGAAGAGATAGATGACGACAAGGTAGTATTCATCCATATTCCTCAACTTTTTTACCTTTGTTTTGCCATTTCTCAACTCCTTTCTCATGTGCGTTTATCCATGTCATCGCTTTAACTTCCCCCACAGTTCGTCAATATTCTCGGTGGCCAGAACCATGTCAATAATGGACTCTCGGACAAATTGGTAAGTATCCCTATCCAAGTTTTGTAGGATATTGACATTTTTGTCCGACAAAGTCAGTCTAAAAGCTCTTGCCGCATGGTAACTCTCCAAAACAGACCTAATTAAGACATGGGAATTGTTTAATCACATGAAATTGCAAGATGAACTTGTATTTAAAAAACATGTAATAAAAATATTCCTTGCACAAAGTTTCAATTAAACCTAGTGTATAAAATAAGCTTTACCGGTTTGTCTAAGTGACAAACGTTACCCTAAATATATGCGTATTTTACACTATAAACGTATGATCAGCATTTCTGGTGCTATAAATTCATATTCTTTACCGGTTTGTCTAAGTGACAAACGTTATCCTAACTATATGCGTATTTTACACTATAAACGTATGAACAGCATTTCTGGTGTTATAAATTCATATTCTTTACCGGTTTGTCTAAGTGACAAACGTTACCCTAAATATATGCGTATTTTACACTATAAACGTATGATCAGCATTTCTGGTGCTATAAATTCATATTCTGTCTTATTTTACAAGTAAAAGAATATGCATGCAGAGGTTTAAAACATAAATCAAAGGAGTACTGGAATATATACGGGGGATAAAAATATAAAACAACAAAGAAATCAGAAGTTAATGATGATAAAGATAAACACAACAAAGGTAGAGGAAATAATACGGACATATAATATCATCATGCACCAATTCTTTCGGAACAACGGTTTCTATAATACTGACGTACTCTTAGAAAAGTTGACCACATGGAAAACCATACATAAAAAAGGAGAGGAGGAAATAGAACGTAATACAACAAAGAAAGTCATGATGAGTCAGTCTTCACGTCAACAAACAGAACATAATACAACAAAGAAAGTCATGATGAGTCAGTCTTCACGTCAACAAATAGAACATAATACAACAAAGAAAGACATGATGAGTCAGTCTTCACGTCAACAATTGGATACCGGAGGTTATTTGTCAGTTTTTTTTATTTACCTGTATATTAATTTACCTGTACATTAATAAAAAGGTGATAACGAAAGTATTATGCAGCTTTTACAAAACCTGGGATACTTTAAAAATAGACTAACAAAACGGGGTTAATTGGAAACCTGGGATACTTTAAAAATAAACTAACGAAACAGGTAATTGGAAACCTGGGATACTTTAAAAATGAACTAACGAAACAAGGTTAATTGGAAACCTGGTATACTTTAAAAATGAACTAACGAAACAAGGTTAATTGGAAACTTGGTATACTTTAAAAATGAACTAACGAAACAAGGTTATTTGGAAACCTGGTATACTTTAAAAATAACTAACGAAACAAGGTTATTTGGAAACCTGGTATACTTTAAAAATAAACTAACGAAACTGCAGGGTTAATTGGAAATCTGGGATACTCTAAAAATAAACTAACGAAACTGCAGGGTTAATTGGAAACCTGGGATACTTTAAAAATAAACTAACGAAACAGGGTTAATTGGAAACCTGGGATACTTTAAAAATAAACTAACGAAACAGGGTTTATTGGAAACCTGGGATACTTTAAAAATAAACTAACGAAACAGGGTTAATTGGAAACCTGGGATACTTTAAAAATAAACTAACGAAACAAGGTTAATTGGAAACATATTAAGAAATAATTCGTTATTAATAATTATTTCATGTTATAATGTCTAGTCTGAAATTGTTTAATGAAAGAACACTAAAATTCTGTTCAGTTTTGTAGATAAAGGTTAGTAAATGATGTATTTTCAATGAGAAAGATATACAACACAGTTTAATCGCGTATATGTATTGACTATTAATAGCTCCTTCATCAAACCTTATTAAATTTTTCAATTATAAACCACGGCAAGATATTTAACAAGAAAAATGAATTGGCTAAATGTTAGGAATATTATTAACGTAAAGCTATTTATATACTTGTTTCTTTACTCAATGGCTCGATCACGTGAGGTTTGTGCTGTTTTCTGAGGTTATGTTGTACAAGATTTCAGTTCGCACTAAACTAAATGAAACTATGGCCAAATGGACTTTGATCTTATTTGAAAGCATCCTCCAGGTCAGAGTGACGACTGTTTAAGGGAACAGTAGACAAAATATCCACGAACTTACAAGTCATTGTAGAGAATCGCTAGCTCGTCTCTAGTGTTACACAAGAAAGCACTGTTCTTGCCAGGATGGTTGACGTCATGTACGATGGCAGCAATCAGGGATATTACTTCATCTAAAGGATCGAATATCGCCTGGAACACAGGATTTCAAATTAAGCCACGCCCATTGAACTGGTACTTCTAAATCAAAAATGGCTATTTCAAAGAACTGCAAAATATAACGAAATACTTATATATTGTATTTAGGGCTAATGTGAAAATAAATCCCCATTCACAACATTTACATAAGTTTTTCTTTAATAAGTGGTTGACTCCGTTATTAAACTTAGAGGTTTAACTTTAGCAGGTTGATTCAATTCAAATATTACTCTCCAGTCTATAAAATGACACCTGAATCACAGGACACGTACCTTGATTCTTGGTTTTTGTAGAAAATAAGCAGCTGCCTGCATGACATCCGCAGCGTGTGTAGAGTTGTGATAAGGGTTATTTAGGTAGTTTGCTTCTATTAGGCTTAACCAGTTCCTTAACGTATTTTCGTCACAGTTTAATACAGAGCAGACATTGAAAGTAGAGGAAAGAGTCATTCCTAACCACGAAAGTGCTCTGATAAAAACAAAATATTCAGTACATAATTAAAGATCGAGATCTGTACTCCATATAAATATAATGATATTTAAAAGGAATCAGACATAACTAAGTGTAAAAGCACAAGTTATTTTGCAAATTAGTTGATCAGCGGAAATCCAATTATATTATGATAGTTTCGAATTTTCCTCTGGAGCGCCATCTCACATAAACAATACCAAGTTAACAGTCAGAACAGTAAAATTTAATAAAAAGTTTTATGGCACAATTTACTTTTTATGTTAAAATTTTGGCAGTTCCTTAAGCTTGGAGCACCAGGTAACTATTTGGATTTTAAGTTTCGTCAAGTTCTGGAGGTTTATTGGAGGAGATTATTAAGATTTACTGACTGAAAAGTCGAACACTCGTTCTTGCTAAACAATAAGATATAATCTAAACACACGAACTGTCAGATCTCAGTAACTTTGAGTGTCAGTTTTCGCGGTAATAAAAAAGCAATTAGCTTTTAAGTCTTAAAATTTACCAAAAGAAATTCGATGAGATATACATAGATAAATTTTTAAACTGGGCAACAATTATTGAAGTTATCAAGTTATCTGATGCAACTTGTTATCATTACTTTTTTCCAAGATGTAAAAAATAAGACAAAATGAAACTTAAATCCTACTGCACGGCGTAGACAGGCTGAGTTCATGGCGCCCACATTTTATAGAAAGACGTTTTTTTTAGCTATAATTTGACATATGTTGGTAGATGGCTGTCACGTTGTCGATAAGAAAAAGTATTTACTTACACATTATTTAAAAGTATGCTCCATGGAAGAGGCATTTTTGTCACTTACTATTAAACAAGAAGGAATCCTTAATAGCCGCGGCACTTGAAATTCTTTCAAGCAGGATTAGAGTATATTAATATGAGACCATATATTCAAAATGCAATACATCAATATTTTTGTATAAGTAAACAAATTTTGTAGTTTGAAATTCTTACAAACGTTTGCATTTTATATTTAACAATTTGTTAATTAATTTTACAAAATGAATGTCATGAAATAATTTGTTCAACAACCAATACATGTCATAAAATTACTTATTAATTTTCTTTAACCTAAACCTAAATCAAACAAACTAGCCAACTATTAGGTGCTAAGTAAATATATAAAGCAATATTACTGGAAGCTTAACTGAAAACAAAGCAAAAATGATAAACAAATCATTTACAAAGCAAAATCATAATCTAACTATATACTAACATTATTTCTCTATCCATAAAATACTTGTCACGAACGCGTTTGGAACTAAAAACTAGTGGTTACCCCCATTTTTTTTTACTCTGGTTACGCCCCTGCCCTACTGTATGAACAGCTCTGTTGTCAGATTGTATAAAGGGAATAAATGTTTTCCTTTACGTTACGGGTTTTAGCACCTTCAACCAACGCATTTTTGTTTTTACTCTGGTTACGCCCCTGCCCTACTGTATGAACAGCTATGTTATCAGATTGTATAAAGGAAATAAATGTTTTCCTTTACGTTACGGGTTTTAGCACCTTCAACCAACGCATTTTTGTTTTTACTCTGGTTACGCCCCTGCCCTACTGTATGAACAGCTATGTTGTCAGATTGTATAAAGGGAATAAATGTTTTCCTTTACGTTACGGTTTTTAGCACCTTCAACCAACGCATTTTGTTTATCAACGAGGTGATTTTTTGTGGGGTTTTTTTCAGCGCAAAGCTACACAATGGGCAATGTTCAATCTATCGAATATGGGGACTCGAACCCCTGATATTAGCAGTGAATGTCCGCTGACTCACTGTGGAATTTTTTTTCAATGAGGATCTTCCTCAGACGGTATCCTTCCTTAGGACACTTTCTTTTAATAAATCTCTTAAAGTTTCCAGATTTTATTTAAAAGCAAGATTAATGAACTGCTTCATTACAAAAGAAACACAATTCAGTTAAAAAAAAATTCCATGCCGTGGTTTAGGTACTGTTCTGGGAGACATAACGAACTGGAAAATCCTTTCGTTTTGACAAAAAAAAAATAAAGTGGTTATTATTGTCTCTTTTACGGGAGCCTTCGTGACGCAATTGAACAATAAAACATAAAAAAATAACGTATTGAATGTCCATGTAACTTATTTAACCAAATATAAAAACCTTAAGTTATTACGAGTTTTAAACAACAAGCATTTAATTAAAAGTAATTTTTATAACTAAAGAAATTAAGCCTATACTATAGAAGAGTAGCCGAAACCGAAATTGTTCTCTTCGATTTATTGACGTTTTAACGTGGAAAACAAATCCAACACAGCCAGCAACAACTCAATATGTGAAATGGCACACATTTTTTCCTGCAATTCCGTAGCTCGAAAATACTTTTTCTTTTGAAATTCAGAACACTCGCTTACTTTTTATCACTTATTCTCTCCAGCTCGATTATATCAAAGCTCCATTCCATACTGTTTTCCAAAGTACTTCCGTTTGTGCTTGAAGCAGTGTCTGAACTGGGTATAGTTGCTAGAGGAGATACAATAGAACTTCTGGACACTAAAAGAAGTCAAAGAAAGTGCAAAATTACACGCCTAACAGACTTTTAGTAGTTGTACATCTAGAATATTTTCTAGCAGTTAATATTATCAAAATCGGCTTATAACGTCAGAGGTACAAAAACAAACAAACAAAAAACTGTAATAATAAGATTCGTTGGCTCTTATAATACCACCAGAAATAATTATTAACACGTTTGAGCCATTGATCTACATTAGATAACTCATATTCTGGTAAATGAATCTATGACTTTATAATATGAGCTTTAATAAGAGTTAATAAGCACTAAACACATGTAAAAATTGTAATTTTGAAGGTTTCTTAAATGTCTTTCGAAAATTGTTAAGAGAATCGAACAAGGTGCTTAATGTTAATTTTCACATGTTCAAATATACATAATGCAATGATACAAATGCGAAATAGGCCCTTTCAGGTTCATATAACTATTAATAAAAAATAAAACACACTTTTGGAACAAATGTTTAATATAAAGACTACGAAACTAGATTTGAAACTTTCATGTGTCCTCTTTAGTCAAAAATATTCTGAGAAGAATATGCTTACGTAGATGACGATGGCTTGATTGTGAAACCCCCTTGGAGGCACACGGGATCAGTAAACAGGGGAATTAAAGTTTAGTACGATGGCCTGATTGTGAAACCCCCCTTGGAAGCACACGGGATCAGTAAACAGGGGAATTAAAGTTTGGTACACTTTTAATAATATAGTTCTAAACGTAATTCGTTTTACGCAGTTTTTGGTTTTATATATAATTTTGACCGATTTCCAGTTCAGAGGGTTTTCAAAATCTCTTGAAATAAGAAATATTTCATTATTTTTATTAATTGTTAAAAGCTACATTATGACGAGAGCACCAAACTTTAACATCTCTCAAGGTCAGTTTAAGTTGAACAGTTTCCTGACCACGTGTGTCCTCAAGGGAATTACACAATCGGTTATCAGCTTAGCTGTGCGGATAAGTTTCTTGTCAGAAATAGAAAAGTGTGTAGGACTGAAGAGAACACATGAAAGTGTTGACACTACACTAGTTTCTAGCCTTTGTACTCATATTTTGTCCCAAAACGGTTTTTTTATTTTCGTTAATTTAGCTAACATACACGGTATTATGTATTTTACGCTACCATGCAACTTTGTCCATAGTAATACAAAATATAAATGTGGGTAGGCGCGTGCGAAGTATTGGTATAGATATTTATATCTGCATAATAACGAGTTGATTTAAACTTGCTTACTAATAACAACGTACATGGAAGAAAATAACTAAATCACATATACAAAAATCTGTTATAATTCTATATAACAGTTACTGTTTATTTTTTGTCCAATATAATAGCTTGTGCTGTTCGTCAGGTTTTTCACGATAACTTACTTTATCAGTTCTCACTTTCAACGAAATTAATATGAAATTATTGATTTCAAATAGTTTTTAGGGTTGGTGTTATCTAGCCTTCTTTATACAATTGTAGCATTATTTAAATAAAATAACACAAGCATGAACAATTTAACTAAAAATTGTATTGCTTTCAATCTCCACAAACGTTCCAAGCTTGTCTAAATGGTAATCAAAACGTGACAGTAGGCTACTTTTGTAAAATCTTAAAAATTACCCTGGCGGTAAAATGATCAAACTGTTCGACAGTACTCATTCAGAGTAAGTAATCCTTCACACTTTTTAAAATTCTGACGCTTGGCTGATGTATAAAGTTTTAACTAAATTCTGTTAGCACTGTATACGCTACTCCATTATATACTTCAAAATAGCTGCTTAAAAACACGCGAGTTTTTTATAATATGGGTATGAAACTTATTACTGTGTGTTTTTTGTATTAAAATATAAACCAAAAAAAAATAATACATACTTCTCTGGTTGACTTCATGAGACAGTCGTCGCTGCCCTGGTTTTTGACCCTGTTGTAACATTCAACAACAAAAGAAAAACAATTAAAACATGACTTCAGCTCGTCAATTAATTACATAAACAATGTTAAATGCAAGTTTCATGAATTCACCGACGGATTACGTCAGCCATTTATAATGCATGAAGTAAAGCGTAAAAATAAATACGTTTTCTTGTTCACCTTCTAGGCAGTAGAAGAATGTAGGAAAAATTGCTTCATTAGACAGCAGTCTAAGCATAGCTAATGCACCTAGTCCTCTCATTATCTTCTAAGGTAAATCAGAATGACACTTAGAATAATTTTAGGACGTCTAAGCTTTAATGAAAGGTTTGAACGAAACAGCCCTACGTTCATTATAACTTGACATTTTAACGTTTTATTTATTTTTGATATATGTGTGTGTGTGGAAGGTGAAGAGAATTATTTATGCCAGTAGATCCTTCTGGAGTTCTCAATGTGTGGACATATCAAGAACAAAAACTATGTTTGCTGTATAATTAGTGTAGCGAAAATCCTGATTATCAAGAGCGCCAAATATGTGCATAGCAATAAAGAAACTGTAATGAAGTAGGAGTACCATCTTACACCAAATATTCAATATAGAAGACCACTAACTATCTAACTGGTTGGATGAAATCCACGAGTCAGCGAACCCCCTCCTCCCCTCTTAGTCTCTAAGGTGCCTCACAAGATTTAACAGCAGTGAGTTCGGGTCCCTAGGTCATTTTACTTCTAAAGACCAATGAGGTGTGGATGCACATTAATCATCATTTTATTAATGTAATCTTAAAGGGTTTGATTGTTTGAAGTTAAGCACGAAGCTACACAATGGGCTATCTGTGCTCTGCTCACCACAGGTATCGAAACTCGGTTTCTAGCGTTGCAAGTCCGCAGACATACCGCTGTGCCAGTGGAGGGCCGTAAAATTTTAAGAAGTGTAAAAATATTGCTGTTATAAAGTTTGTTTGTTTGTTTGAAGTTAAGCACGAAGCTACACAATGGGCTGTCTGTGCTCTGCCCACCACAGGTATCGAAACTCGGTTTCTAGCGTTCTAAATCCACAGTATAAAATAACTTTCAATAGATCTAGAGAATTCATAACATGAACTTTTTTATTATAAATTCTACTGTTTTATTTCTTATTATACGAAAACTTAAAACAGGACGTACATCGACGTGTGCAATTCAAGTAATATTTTTGTATGTTGCAAAGTTTGGTCCACAGACATTCTTTGAGTCTTATGAATGTCCATGTTGATCTATCGAAAAAAAAACCCAACAACAATTCAAATTAAATAACAATTTCTTAACTTATTTAGAAATTGGTTAACACTTGATTAGTTTAAATTAGTAAATTCGCCCAAAATGCTGCTCAACCTAAAACTGTTATTTGCATTCTAATTTTATATTACCTTTGCACGTATTCATTGGTTTAATTTTAAAGTATAATATGTTTTCGTTCAAAGTATTTTGTTGTTCTTTAAATAATAAAATAGTTTGTTTGATTTAGATCAAAGTCACACACACACACATATATATATATATCCTGTGTCCACCGTGGGGAATCGAACCCCGGATTTTGGCGTTGTAAACTTACCGCTCGTTGTCCCACCGGGAGACGTGTGTTAGTGATAGAAGTTTTAGAACATTTGTTTCACGCTACGAATAAATAAGCATTTAGTTGTTTAAAAATAAACATTCAAATCATACGCCACGATGACCTCGTTTTCTACGTTGAAAACATTTCATGAAACATGATGAAAGTTTACACAACAGTTAGTAGGAACAGAGAGGGTCAGGGGCCTTTTAGAGGGCCAAACATGTATTCCCTCCTCCCATATTCTTAAACATTTGGACGAGAACCGGCACTTTCAACGATAATTCACATACCCTGAGCGGGGCGAAGATAGATCCGAAGATCTCTGAACACTCCTGGTTATTTTAGCCTTGATACCTACCACTAACTGACTGACTTAAAAATTTGTTTCGGAGAGAGAAAAATAGATCGCGTTGTGCTGCTTGACTTCTATACATGGCCCGACATGACCGGGTAGGTTGTTAGGGCGCTTGACTCGCAATACGAGGGTCGCGGGTTCGAATCCCTGTCCCACCAAACATGCTCACCCTTTCAGCCGTGGGGATGTTATAATTTGACGGTCAATCCCACTATTCGTTGGTAAAAGATTAGCCCAAGAGTTGGCGGTGGGTGGTGATGACTAGTTGCCCTTCCTCTAGTCTTTCACTGCTAAATTAGGGACGGCTAGCGCAGATAGCCCTCGTGTAGCTTTGCGCGAAATTCAAAACAAACTAAACAAACCGAGTTCTATATATTCCCACCAATTTGCACGGCAATGTTGTGGCAGGCCTTATTTGTAATTCTTAATTTTTCACATAAAGTTGAAAATGAAAACATTGATAAAGGGCAAAAACAAAATAATTTCTTTTGTTATATTACAAATTTGATATCATATCTTAAAAAATAAAAAATGATAATATATATTTTTTTTCAATCACGCTCATGATTCTTCTGACTTGCAAAATGTATTTAGAAACGATTTAATGGCATTTGAGAGAAACTTATCTCTCATCGTCAGTTGGTATTGAACGAACGGATTCTTAGGTATTCGCTTGTGGGAGACACCATGTACATCACAACGTTTCGACCAGTGAATTTTCCGGCCGTCGGCAGGCGTTATGTCAGACATATTTTGTAGAATTTCCAGGATTCGAGCCCACAAACCTATGATCCCGAATATGAGCACTCTAACCACTTCGCTGATAGTCGAGAACAATAGTCCGAATAATTATACCATTAGTATTACGTCATTTTTATTACAAATGTTAGTAGTATTGATATTTACCTTCTTCGTTAAGAAAGAATTATGTATTTCTTACTTCTATGGATTCAGATATATTTATGATTCGGCGATTAATTACTAAAGCATTAACATGTTTTTAATCTCGAAATGAAAAAAACAATTTTTGTTTTTAATTACAAAGCTATAAAGTTGATTATTTGTGTTCTCCCTACCGCGGGTATCGAAACCCGCGGTTTTTAATGTCATAAGCCCCCCAGAGTTACCGCTGAGCCACTGGGAGGAGGGTGGGGTATATATATATATAAACAGAAGTAAAACAAATAACACATTCCCGGTAAAGTAATAAATCTCACCATTTTGAGCTTGATACTCCGTTTAATAATGGATTTAAAAAAAAGTGTCTTCGTTTTTTTCGTTTGGTTTCTTTCACCTTCCAGTTCAATGACTCATTTATATGGAAAATATTTCACAAATTTTAGTTCCCAAGATTTACTAATAATTATAAAAATGTTTTTATTTTGTTATACATAACATAAATTTCGAAGAAATCTGGCTTTTCATAGATTTTGACTTAAAAACTGCAACATTTCGATTGGGGGGGGGAGGGGATATGGAAACTCGATTTTTAGTGGTGTAACCATGCAGACTTGCCACTGAGCCATTGGGGGGGGGGAGGCGACATTTCGAAACTTCACTCATTTACTAAATAAAATAGTCTTGATAGTATATTGTGAAGTTGTCTCTGAAGTGGAAACAAAGTTATTACATTTGTAGTAACATGTATCAACGTTTAAATCTTTGAAACAATAAAATCGCATCTTGGTTTGTCTTTGTTCGTTTTATAAAACACTTTCGGATACAGAGAGTTTTACCAACCGTGGCCAGTACCCTATCGAGCCCATAATAGCAATCTTCGCTTTCCCTGTTCATTTTTAATAAATGTTGCATTTACAATGCTTGTTTTACTTGAACGTTTGAAAGTATAGTTATCGTGTTACAATGCTTGTTTTAGTTGAACGTTTTAAAGTATAGTTATCGTGTTACAATGTTTGTTTTAATTGAACGTTTTGAAGTATAGTTATCGTGCTACAATGTTTGTTTTAGTTGAACGTTTTGAAGTATAGTTATCGTGCTACAATGTTTGTTTTAGTTGAACGTTTTGAAGTATAGTTATCGTGCTACAATGTTTGTTTTAGTTGAACGTTTTGAAGTATAGTTATCGTGCTACAATGTTTGTTTTAGTTGAACGTTTTGAAGTATAGTTATCGTGTTACAATGTTTGTTTTAGTTGAACG